CCCACGTCTGCCAGCAGGAGGCGCAAGCAGCAAAGGCGGCCGTGCGGAAAGGCTGTGACAGCAGGAAAGGGGCCAGGAGGCGTGACGGCCTTTAGCTTAGCAGGTGTGTGCTCGTCCCATTCAGCGCCACCGTCCCAGCAGGCAGGGGCTACTCGGAGCAGCGCTGGCCAGGCGCCCTGTCAGAACAGCAGCTGTCCAATGGCTGGGCCCAGCTTCAACTGAGTGTCATTCCAGCAGAGGCCTGTATGCCAGTCAGCACCGCCAGGAAAGCAAATTCCGCTTCCAAAACTTGGATTTCACAGGCAGTGGGGCTGAGCGAGAGCCCCATTGGCCGACAGCTTCGAGCGAGAGCCCCATTGGCCGACAGCCTCTTTGTTTGTTTGCTGCAAATCCTGAGCTCCCGGCTTTTGCCACACGGGCCCACATCACCCTCAGCCTTAATAAGAGGAGGCAGCTGCAACTTGTCACTAGTTTCGCCACATTTGCTGGGTCTGGCCCCGCCCCGTTCCCGGCCCTCCTCTCTCAGAAATGCTACCAGCCCCAGGTGCATCCGTTAGCCGTGGCATATTACCCATGGTCCTTTCTGCTGGGCCATTCCTGCCTGTACACATGCCATTTCTTTGCTGTTCTTTTAATAAGCTTTTTCAGTCTTATTCCTTTTTTGACGTCAACTAGAAACCGCCTGACGTTTTTGTACGTCGCCGCGTGGCAAACAATTGGCCAAGGAAGACGTTAAAGCTGATTGTGCAAAAAACTCTCTTGCTAATTCTAAGCATCGTGCTTCAGCACCACACCGATCGTTAACGCCACTAACGAGGGACTTTACCAGCAAAACAAGGGGGATGTGGGAAGGACCTTTGTGACCAACTTCTGAAATTCCTGTTCAAGAGTTTTCTGCGTTGCTGGAAGAATCTTTAGGCTTCTTCAGCTGACACCTGTTCTTTTCAGGGTCTGATTGCAGGGCCTAATAAAAGTTATTTTCTTTGTATGACGCTGACTTGCCTTGCGTGGGGGATAGGAGAGATGGGAAGGGGGTTCCACACTGTCACTGTGCCCTGCCCCCAGCTTTGGAACGACCCAAGGAGCTCTCACACAGGGCTCACTGGCCCCGGGGCTTCGGCAAGGTCGGCCCGCCCTCCTCAGGCCACTGAAGTTGTTTATCAGACTCATCTGTTCAGCAGAGCCCCCCCCACACACACACCCAGCCGCTAAGCAGCACAAAGGCGTGATTCCATGGGCCTGGCCATTGCTTGTGTAGCCACAGACAGCGGTAGTGTCTTCGCCCATTACAGTAGGGTTGCCAAGTCTCCTGATGGGCCGGATCGGCCGCCATGTGTGGCAGTGGCATCCGGTCTTGGAGAAGCACCAGCCCGACAAATTAGAGTAGCTGTCAGCTTTCCAACGCTTTGGCAGGGAGGAGAATGTGAGACGCGCACACAGACCAAAACTAACAGCCTGGGCTCACCTTTTTTCTGTTCCGCCCACGCCCACGGAAAGCCGAGAGGCCGACATCGCTCCAGGGCCAGCATTACAGGAGTTTAGAAGCCTGGAATGTTTTGGTTTCTGATACATTTAACCTAATTCTGAATTTCCTGCTGCTTTATATTTTTGGGGGGTGGGTGGGTTGCTTTGCCTTAACTACAAGTATCCTGGGAGGTTTTTCTAATGCTTAAATGACTCGTGCTCTCAGACTCACTTCTTCAAAAGGCTTTTCGTCTGGGACCCCTATAACCATTCGCTTGATTTACCACCTGAGCGCTCAGAAGCAGGGACAGACATTTAACAGCAAGAAACATCTAGGTCAAACTTTATTAAAGCTCCAATAAATTATTTTCCCAAGCCAAAATAGGCTATTGCTTTGGTATACCCTTTCTGTATCAGTAAATCAATGCAGCGGCTGTACTTCCGTGCGAATGGCAGTGTAAACTGAAAGGAATAACCAAACAAACAGTTACTCAGCGATCATCATGCAGCGCAGCGAAACAGCATCTAGAGCTTACTGAGGCTGCAGACTCCTAGGCCTGGAGGGAATCTCGAGAGGGCATCTTGTCTAGTCCTCTGCACTCATGCCAAGACTAAGTATTATATAGGCCAGTGGTTCCCAAACTTTTTGGCATTACGCCCCCTTTTTGATTTTTGAGAACCCCTCCCAGCCCCCCCCCCAAAATAGCAGCAAAACTTGAGAAAAAAAAAGGAACAATAGCAGCACAACTGGGGGGGGGAGGCCGGCTGGGTTGCCTCACAACCCCCCCTTGGAATTTCTTCACACACACCCCAGTTTGGGAACCCATGATATAGACCATCCCTGACAGGCGTTTATCTGACCTACTCTTAAAAATCTCCAACGATGGCGATTCCACACAGTCCCTAGGCAATTTATTTCAACCTAAACCTCCCTTGCCACAATTTAAGCCCATCATCCTTGTTCTAGCCTCAGAGATTTAGATGAATCATTTTTTCTTCGTCCTCCTTGCAACAACATTTTATGGGCTTGAAAATTGTTCTGTCCCTGTTCAGTCTTTGCTTCTCCAGATTAAACAAAACCAATTCTTTCAATCGCCCTGCATAGGCCACATTTTCTAGACCTTCATAATCATTTTTGTTGGGTGCTCTCCAATTTGGCCACATCTTTCCTGAGCAAACCCTCAATACCCCAGTTGAGGCTTAGTTAGCTCTAGAGGAGGCAAGTATCATTATGCCCATTTTACAGGTGGAAAAATGATTCCCAGAAGGGTTCCTGATTTAACTGAAGCCATCTGGAAGTTTGCTATGATTTTTCAATGAACAATATTCACATCTAGACAACTTTTGTCAGTCGATGCTGCAAACCAGTGCTTAGTTCAATCAGTCCGCCGGATAGTGAAAGAACCACAAAAGCTGCTAAATTTGTTCACTGTATTCAGTTTCCAGTAATAACACAAGGCTCTGAAATGCTCTGTACTTACTTCCACCCATCTAAGCAGCTTTTCATGGACGTGTCTGTCATCGCTGAAAGGTTTTGTGTTCAAGACAGCAGCAACAAACTCCTCTGGTGGGATCTGCTGGGTCTAATGGACAGAATGGTTGGGCTCAGAGGCCTCTCACCTGGATCCCCTCAGACCTACTCCTATGAGAGCGGCACCCACAACCTGTCGCCACCAGTAATACTGGTGCGTACGGGGGAGGAGAGGAACCCCACTGCTCCCAGAGCGGCACGTTTGCTATATTCTGAGGCCAGCTCTGCACTAGACCCGGCAGGTCGGCTTAAGGGACTCAACTCCAGCTCCGTAAATAACATAGCTGGCGTCGACGTACCATAAGCCAAGCTTGGTGCAGTCTTCATAGTGGGAGGCCAATGGCTTCCCTTACTCCTCCTGACTGCGAGGAGGACCAGCGCTGACCAGAGGGCACCCTCAGCATTTGATTTAGCGGGTCTTAACTAGACCCGCTAAATCAAACACCAGCAGCTCGATCTCTGGTGCATAAGTATAGATAAGGCCTGCTTCTACACCTGCCAGCAGAACCCTACCGAGTCCCACGTGATTGCGGGAAGCGCTGGGGGCAGGCGGTCACACTTAGCTCACCCCAGCCCTAGTGGGGCGATGTTCATTTGATGCACTTGGTGATTTAGGAAACAACACAGGGAAGAGCAACAGATTTACCCACAATGACCTGGCCAGCCCATAGCGATCCCTCATGTCTAGAGGTGGGGCTATGCCTTCTCCTCGCACCAGGGCCCGAGAGATCCCTCAGGGCACATCACATCAGATGCCCATGCCAGCTGACTCAGGCTCGTGGGGCTGAGTGGTGTCGACTTTCGGGCTGGGCTACAGCCCGAGATCTGGCACCCTCCCATCTCACAGGGTCCTAGACGCCGGGCTCCGTCCTGAGCCTGAAGGGCGACACTGCATTTAAAGCGCCATCGGTGGCCCAGGCCAGGTGGGGTGTCTAACCGCAGTGCAGCCAGACCCTAGGAAAGCGATTCACGAAACCAGCCCACTGAGCAAGAACCCTAAGCCCCAAAGGGAGTTGGGCACCTCCTGCCACGCAGGACTCACAGCCGAGCCCGACACCGCAGCGAGGTGCAGGACAGCCCCCCAGAGACCCGCACTGCTGCCTCATGGGCAGGGCGCTGGCAGCCATGCAGAAGCCCACCTTCAACTCTCTGCTCCAGCACGTGGACATGAAGGCTGGTCGCGGTCATGCCAGCTGCGTGCCCCCACCGCCAGGCTACAGCCTCACCCTCCCGCCGAGCCCCGCACTAGTTAATGATTTGTACCGCGTGGAATGGCCTCCGGAGGACAGCGACCCCACAGCCTCCGGCTCAGCTGTCCGGGAGGCGGGGCATGTGGCTGCCCGTCAACGCTTTACCACACCCAGAGCAGATCTCAGCTGTGGGCCCTAACCCTTGCCCCGGTGGGTGGACGCCCAGCTGCCCCCCAAGTCCCACTGTCTTCGGCCCCGGCTGGCTTTGTTGCACGCTCCACACACGCCCCGCAGGTGAGCCCGCAAGGGAGCGGCCAGGCTGGAAGCTGGCCAGGACTGGGGTGGGAGGTGAGCTAGAGCCCGGGGCAGGCTGGTGGTGTTAGGGCAGCTGTGGGTTTGGTGCATGCAGACGCGGCCTTTGCCAGCACTAACATAGGCGTTTACAGAGTCAGGCAGCATCTCAGCAGGGTTTGGAGGCTCTCGGGGCACCTGGATGGTGGACGCGGCTGCCTACAAGGCCTCGAGCTGGCTCCTTGGGCTTCTGCACACACAGCGTCCACGGGGCACTCTGCCTGCGCGAGTCCCTGCATCTCCTCGCTCTCCTCCTCCGGCTTGGGGAAGCGTGCTGCCCTGCTCCTGGCTGCCCGCCCTGCCCGCTCTCCTGTGCGCCCCTCCAGCTCCTGACTCAGCCCCTCCTGGCATTACAACCCTGGCGGGAGAACCTGCCTCCGCTCTGACACAAACCCTCCCTGGCCTTTTGAGGCCTCAGGCTGGCATCTGCTGCTCCCTCCCCCTCTGGGCGCTCTGCCTCCGGCCCTCCTCGTGGGGCAGGGGAGGTAGGTGGCTGGTGGGCTTAAAGCGCACCTGCGGGGTCAAGGCCCCCTGGCAAGCGAAGCGTTCCCCTGCCTGGAGACCCCTGCTTCCGTGCCTCCGGGGCTGCCATGTGCGCCAGGCTCTGAGCAGCTCGTTAGCTACGGGGCAGCCTCGCCACTTAACAGCTTTGCAACTGGCAGACACTCCGGGGCCCAGGGGATTTAGACACCGCTGCAATTGTCAGTGGCACCTAAATGGTGAACAAAACAGAAAGATACAACAGGCACCTCAAAGGACCCCCAAGGGGCCTGGCCCCATCTCAGCCCCGTCAGGAAATCGTACCTACCCACAGCCAGTGCACGAGCCTGGCAACTCGGGCCGTGACCTCCCTGGCATCCTTCTGCCTGATGGAATTCAGGATGATGTCCGTCAGAAAACAATGGCACTTCCGGGCATAGAATATCTCCTCCCGGGCCAAAGCGAAACTGAGGAAAACGATTCCTGCAAGGCGAGTGTCAAACACAACACACAGAGTCACACACCACCACCCGCCCACACTGTCGCAGGTGCAACGGAGCCCGGCCACGCCCTGTAGTCCCAGCCAGGCTCATGGGGAGCATCGCCTAGTGAAAAGGGAGCAAGAATTTTCCAGGATTTGACCCTGGCTCTGTTGAATTTCTCAACACCCTAGCTGCTTTGTAGGGGAGGCGAGAAGGCCACTGCGATTAGCCAGCCAGCAGGACCCTTTGAGCAGCGAAGACAGCAGAATGTCTAACACAATGCTTTCCACCAGGCATCGACACTGCCACACCATCAGAGCGATACCGACATGGGTTGGCACAACAGCAGCTTAGCTGCAGGGATCTGGCAAGGGAGGCAGTCGTGCGGGCGTACGCATACCAGCTCCCACTGAACCAAGGCAAGTGCCATCGGGGCTGCCATGGGGACTCCAGCCATCTGCCTGTAGTGTGCACTGTACCCTTGGGGGCACAGGCAGGCTAGGACTGATTCTACTCATCTAGAATTTGTTAGGTGTTTTGGTAGCTTGCTATCGTCTCGTCTGGGTTCCACTCACAATATGAATGTGTTGGCCTTCCTGCCAGCACAAGAGCTAAACAAGAATAGCTATACCAGTTCTAGTGAAGCTGCCAAGAAGTGTGGTTCTTAGCGTCTCCTAACACTGACCAGTGAAAGGCCTCAGGCTGTGTCTACACTGGACGGGTTTGGAGACGAAAGTGCTGTGGACAGTCTAAAATACGCAAAGGTGAAAGCCGGTCAAACCAGGTTTTCTGCCTCCCACTGTCGACATTTCCTGGCCACCTGGCTCGCTCCCTGTGCACAGACAGAGCAAAGCCTTGAATATCCCACAGTATGGTGGGAAGGCAGGGCTGATCCCTGCGTTCCTTGGGAGTCCCCTGTGGCTCTGGGGGCTCCCCGAGCTGAGGAATGTCCAAGCAGCACAGCAGCCTCTCCAGCCCTCCCCCTGCAGCAGCAGCCTGCCTGCCTCTGGGCTCCTAGCCGGGCAGAACAGGAGCCGTCCTGTTATTTGTTTCTTGTTCCCGAAAGGGAGCAGCTCTCTCAGCTGCCAGACACTTCCCGGAGCTTTGACAGGGGAGGGGCACCTGCCTGCAGGGCAGCAGAGATCACAGAACAGTGAGCAGAGCCAGCAGGGCAAGCAATGGGGGATACTGGCAGAAGCCCGTTCTCTGGACGAAACACACAGCAGAGTCCACCCTGGCTCTTTGTCCACAATAAAAGGAGGGGGAAAAAACAAAAGGTTTTTGTTGCCAAAACTGGGTGTTTTTCCCAACAAACGTTGCTCGGCAGTATACACGCTCTCGCTGTTTGGTCGCCAAAAGGCAGCTTTTGGCAAGAAAACATGCCAGTCTAGACAAGGCCTCAGACCCATTCGTTTTCACACCAAACACCTTGTGGCACCATTGCAGAGCTAACTCCGCTGCCACATTTCCAGCTCTCTTCAATCTCACTGCACCTTTCGCCGTTGGTTGAGCGTTTGCATTGGCCAGTTGGATGCCAGCGCTGTAAACCACGCTCTCTTCATGCCAAGTGCAAGAGCCGTCACTGCCTACGATGGGAGGATGTTCAACTTTAAGGATGAAACCCACATTCCTAAATTCATTGGTTACCACCTTGGTTTGCTCATTGACAGTTGTTTCTGGGGATACAAAATATGTGGATTTTCAGGGAAAAAAAACAAAAAAAACAACAAGCCCCGCAAAGCTTAAAAACAGGATGAGTACATCTATTAACAGAAAATGTCACCCCTTACTCCTAGCTGTACTCCTGTATTTATTATTATTATTATTATTATTTTATTAAAAACTAGCCTATTAGCCCGTCATAAGATGGGATTTTCAGGTCTCTCCTCCACGTCAGTCTTCTCTCCTGAGCCTCCGCTCTCTCTCTCTCTCTCTCTCTCCTCCTCCTGCCTCCTTCCCTCTCTCTCTCAGCTCTCCTCCGCCTCCTGCCTCTCTCTGGGTGCGGCTAGTGTGGCAAAATTTTGCGCAAAAGCAGGGTTCTTGGCCTGCTCCCGTCTACGCAATCTGATGCCAGGCACAATATACCCATAGTGACAGGCCCTGCCCCCAAAAGTTTACACACTAGAGGTACAAAACCACAAATATTCTCTCCCTCTTTGGGATTTCATTCCTGGCACTACGGAGAGGTGGTTACCGCGCGCTCCTGGAGCCATTGCTGAGCCAAACCCGCACGGTTTAGCCAGGGCTGTTCCAGTGCGTAAGAGTCCTAGCGCAGGAGGTGTTCCTAGGAGCCTCCTCTCTGCTGTACCTTTGCCCCTCACAGTTCTGAGCACACTTTCCCTTTGCCCAGCCCCACTGCTAGCATCCCCTCTGGACTGAAGGGGAACCAGGTAGCAGAAGGGTTTGGGTGGCCTTGGCTGCTTGGATTGCTGTAGATTTCTCCACTCCAAATGGATGCCCAACTGGCCGGTAGCTGTCTGGCGTTGCCCCTCCCTTCTCCCCTGTTGGAACGGGGCTCGTTCTGGGATTTCCCCCAGGGCGGGGGAAAGCCATTCGCAACGCTGCATGACAGCGGCCTTACGCATGCGCACGTCTGGCAACCACAGCTGATCGTCCCGTCGCTGCATCGCTAGGCGGCCCCACCCGTCTGCGCTTGTCTCGCGGGACCACAACCGGCCATTGCTCCACTCGAGTGTATCGGCCACGTCTGGGTTCTTGGCCTGCTCACAGCCTTCCTCATGCCGGCGGCTCCCGGCTCCCCCTGGCCATCCTGCAGCACAAGGCACGAGGTGTTTGCAATTAACAGCCTTGCTGCCATGGCACCTGCACCGATAACCGGGGGACAGTGTGAAGACTGCTGCCATTGCAGCACTGCTGTGCATGTCAAATCAGGGTGAACGGCGTAGAACCAGGCCGAAGACTGCTGCCATTGCAGCACTGCTGTCCATGTCAAATCAGGGTGAACGACATAGAACCAGGGCAACTTACAGCCCAAAACAGGGCTCCTCCCTATGAGGCACCAAATGCCCTGGCCAGGAAAGAGCCTCACAAGCAAATCCCCTCAGACCCTCCAGCATTCCCTGTGCTCCAGCCAGCATCCACCTTACCCAGGGGAGAGGTTATAACCCATCCCCCACCTCCCCTCAGACACCCCAGTGTTCCCTGTGCCCCCCAGCCCTCCTCTCACAGGGGAGAGGTTATAACCCCTCATCAACTCCCAACAGGTTCTCCCAGTCCCAAAGGACCAGTCCCAGGGAAATTTACACCTCCGATCCTACCCAAAGGAGCTCGCTGGACTTGTCCGTTAGCGTCTGCCATGGAAAGGGTTATTAATAAAAGACAGAAAAGGCTGAGAGTGAGATTGTTAAGGGAAGCACATTCCATCAATCCCCAAGTTTTGAGGCGGGCTCTGAGCAGAGATGTAACAAGCTGCCAGCTTACAAGTCTCCAGGTACATCCTGTGTTAGGACGGGTCAGCAAATCCTTCCCGGCTCTGTTCTTAGCAGAGCTGCTTCTGGAGTCGAGAGCAGGACTGAAGACAAAGATGGCGGATTCCTCAGGTTCCTTTTATCCCCTGCCCCATGTGGCAGGAAATCCCTTGTTCTCCTGAGCGATGGCACCTCCCAGCCTGGCGCTGATCACATGATCGAGTGACCTGCCCACATCCCCTCATGCAAGCAGACCTGGGGTGCCTGCTGGTTGGCAGGTTTCCAGCCGCACCCCTCAGGGTTTCTTGGCAACACCAAAGAGCCGGTGTCCCCGCATCCTGGCCAGTCACTGAGGAAGCGCCCCTCCCAAGAGGTGGGCGATGCTGGCTGCTGTCTCCCAGACACAGAACAATTAAAATTCAGAGCCCACATCCATAACGCTCCATCCACAAATCCCACAAGTATGTGAGTGGCACAGACAGAATCAGCAAAGCACGAGCTTTCGTTAGACTCCTCGTTTGGCCACTTCGCAGAGTTTGGGGCAAACACACACCCATGGGTGCAACCAAGACCTGCACTTTCCTATGAAATCCCAGTAACGTGACGGGGGAAATGCATGCACTATGGGATGCTGACGACGGGTACCCAGAAGCATACGAGACTCACCTTTTTCTATTTGCTCCTGACCCTTCGGCTCTTCGAACGCCGCAGGTCTGGTTTCCAGGGGGTATGTCTCCTGGATGGTGCTGAATCTGTGTGGAGTAACTGGCAAATTCTGTCTGTACGTGTATTTCTCTGGCTGTTTCTCTGCAGCACTGAATGCCGCTTGGAGAGTTTGGTCAGTCTCCTGTATGGCGTGCCTTAGTTTCCCAGGAAAACTGTCAGCGGGATCTTTGAGGTCACCCCCGTTTTCAAGTGTCTGAAGACAAGATACTTTATCTACAAGGTTATTGCTGGAGAGCGTCACCTGCTGGAATTCATATCTTTTGGCGTTCGCCATGTCCCATTCCTTCACCAGGGAAATTAATTTCTGAATGGGAGTGGCTGAGTTTCTACTTTCGGATTTTTTTGCGAGATTGCCTCTTCCCCCTTTCTTCCTTGGAGGGCTTGCTGGATGGTTACAGTAGCTGGAATTTACCCCCATATCTGTGGACTGATGAGAGCCTTCCGGTTTATTCCTTCGTTTTGTCCCTCTACTCTGTGAAATCGTCCTGGTGTATTTTTCTTTCTCTCCTCTGCTATCCTGCACGTCTGTTATGTGACTCCAGGCATTAACGCCCCAGTTGCTGAAATCCACAGCCGGGTAGGAATGCTCCTAAAAATGGAGTGAAACGCGATTATTTTAATGTTACTCTTTCGGAAGGTACGTTTGGATCATTTGTGCTGCAGCCTGAGAGAAGCAGGACCGGGGTGTGGTCTAATTTGTATTGACATACGTGTGGAGAGTCCGGCCAGAATCCATAAACTTGTGAGGCAGCAGGAGCTGAAAACTGATCAATCCGGAGCACAGCTCCATCTAGCCCTTGCAGGGGCTGCAGGCTGAACCTTGCCCCATGCTAGCAGAGAATAACCACATGGGGCCAAACGCACAGAGACACGTAGGCATTGTGGGTAGATCCACAAGGGAATCTGGCTGCCTAACTGCCACTTCAGGCACAGAAATCTAAAATGTAGAACCTCCGCTCGGCTGCTGTCCAACCACGCAGGCACCTTCCTTCCCTTGGGGCCTCAGTTTCCACTGCTAAAGACTGAACCCTAAACACCTACGTTTCAACCGGTGGGCACGTCCAATGCTGCCTCAGTGCTGACGGCCAGCTCACGCCAAAGGCCCGGTGGAATTCTCCAGCTAGGTGTCCCCCTGCCTTGCTCACATGTAGGGCTTGGTCCAGTCAGCATGCTCAGACCCTGCATAAAACAGCCTGCATAGGGGAGGCAGTGCCGCTCTTATATCCATTGCTGAGACCAATCCCCAGGGAGGTGGGAAAGCCAGGGGGTGGAGCAGGGCCCCGTGTGCGTGTTCTGACCAGTACAAATGTAGCACACAGAGCACTGAGACAGCAAGAGGCCATCCATGAGGCACGCCGGACAGGTCTTCATCAGGCATGTTTACTCCAGAAAAGAAGCACCAATAAATCTGGGACATGATGCTGTCTAGGCACCCTGAGCCCCTACAAACGATGCAAACATGCTGAACAAGAATAATTAACTGCAAATGACTGGGATCTTCTTGCCCCGGTTCCAGAAGGAACCCTTTCACCTTTGTGTAATATTTCAAGAAAATATCTTCTACTGTTTTACCCCAAATCTTTATCTTTTGATTCATAGGTGCTGGGAGAAGGGCTGCTACCGCCCCCCTCCGCCCCCCTGCGTGAAGGAATGTCCGTCATACGCCGGGCTGGTTCACTAGTTTTTAGAACCCCCACTACACGCATAGGTCCAGCAGCCCTGGTTCTGTAAAAGCTATGCCGGTAGAATTGGCTCCTTGGGGAGAGTAGATCCTTAGAAATTACTGCCCTTTTGGAATAAAAATATCCTTGTCACGTAGAAAATGTCAGGGCTTTCATTGTTGTTGCCAATTTTGCAATCAGGGTGAAGACAACTGAGCCCAAGCTGCAGCTGGATAATTTAAACGTTCAGGTCTAAACTGTGCTTTAAAACGTATTATTCTGAGGAGAGTCTGGAAAAGAATCTTACTTCTTTTGAGGCTTTGCTGAACTCACGCTCCTTATTCCAAGTCACAATATTTAGTCTTCTAAATGGAAAGGAAGCTTCATCGTAAGATTCATGTTTCTTCATCCACAATCTGCAAAATGAGGATGTGGTGAAGGCCAGGACTTGAACAGGGTTCAAAAAGGAGCTAGATAGATTCATGGAGGTTGGGTCCATCAATGGCTGTTGGGCAGGCTGGGTAGGAATGTGTCCCTGGTCTCTGTTTGTCTGGAAATGGGCGACAGAAGAGGGATCATGTGAGGATTCCCTGTTGTGTTCCCTCCCTCTGGGGCATCTGGCATTGGCCACCGTGGGCAGACAGGATACCGGGTTAGATGGACCTTTGGGCTGATCCAGGCTTGCTGCTCTTACATTCCAGTTTTACTACATTTGCGAACATCTGAATTTACGTCCAGGGACAGTCTAAGGTACCAAGTTGTGTGCACATTTTGATAAATGTTAAATTAGATGTATAGATATTTTAATTATTGGGGAATTATTAGACAAGATAAAGGAGTGGCTGTTATGGGACTGGATGATTTAAGAATTAAAGATGGGCTATATCATTCATGCCATTTGACATGAGTTGTTGAGATGCTGTCAAACTAACTTGATTTTTTTAATAAGATTCCATATTCGGTTGATATAAATAATAGTGTCAATGTAATACACTCAGACTGCTGTAAGGCATTTGACTTAATATTACATGACTACAAAACACTACAAAAATACAAAATTCACATGGCACACAGTAAATAATTAAAAACTGGCTAACTGATAGGTCTCAAAATGTAATTGCAAACACAGAATTATCCCTGAGTGAGTCTTGTTCTACTAGGATGCTGCAGGGACTGTGTCCTGGCCCTGTGCCATGTAACATATTTATTAGTAACGTGGAAGAAAACATAAAATCAGCCCTGGAAAATGTTTGCAGACGATACAAAAATTAGGGTAAATAATGGAGAGGGCAGGTCACTGGTTCAGACCAATCTGGATCACTTGGTAAATTGAACTTGAGTAGGTGTTTTATTACGGCTAAATGTATACGTCTGGGAACAAAGAAGATAGGCCAGTTACAGAATGGAGGGCTGAAAACAATTGGGAGGGGTAAGCAGGTGGATAATCAACTCAGTGTGAGTTCTCAGTGCGATGCAGTTGCCGAAAAGGAGGATGTGATTCTTGGGTGCATAAACAGGGGAGCTCAAGTAGGAGTAGAGGGGTTATTTTCCCTCTACATTTGGCACTGATGTAACCAGTCTGGAAGACCGCGCTTAGTTCTAGTGTCCACAATTCAAGCAGGTTGTTGCTAGATGTGGAGGGGTTTAGCCAAGAGCCAGGACAGAGGGTTCCAACACCTGCCGCACAGTGACAGAATGGAGGAGCTCAATCTATGTCTCTGAACAAAGAAGGTGGAAGGGTGACTTGATAGCAGTGTCCAAATATTTATGGGGGGGAGGGGAATGTTTGGCGCATCAGTCTAGCAGAGAAAGGTATTGTGAGCCAAGGGCTGGGAGGCGAAGTTACACAAATTCTGACTGGAAATGAGGGCTACGTTTTTAAAGTGATTAATCAATAGGACAGTTTACTTATCATGGTGGAGTCTTCGTCCCTGTAAAAACTGAAATCAAGAGCAATTCCAAAACCAACCCGCGCTAGCGCAAAAGGGTTAGTGGGATAAATTGTACTGTCTGTGTTATACAACAGGCCAGGCTCGATGATCCCCGGGGGCCCTGGAATGTATGAGCCTATGAATCTATCGGAAACAGACACACATCCGCTTTACCTGTAGCCATCACACTGATAAAGGGCTTCAAAAAGAGAAGGGATCCTGTACTCCTCTGCTTCTTGACAGAATAGAGACCATTCTCTGCAAATTGTAAGGAAATTTCACTGCACCCTAATTCTCTCATCTCCAGTCAGATTATTTTTTCTTTTTCAAATCATCTTCTGCAGTCAGTGATGCAAAGTGCCCATGCAAAATGCACTCTCTCTAGCCTGACTTGGTTTTTAGTTTGATACTGATGCAATGCAATTGTAAGATACCGGGGAAATAGAGGCCAAAACTTTGAAAAGTTTACAAATTTGGTCTTAGTTTCTGGAGGACAGATGGGGTGTCAGTATGGGATCCCAGAGCACGACCGGTGACATCCTGGTGCCACTGACGTCAAGACAAAGCTCTCTTTGGCTTCAGTTGAACCAGGATTTCATTCCTGATACCCAAAATTAGTGACCTCTTTTGAGAAAAACAGAACAAATGTTGACTCTCTAATGTTGAAAACAATCTCCATGTGAACACTCAGTAGAGCATGATTTATGTGCAGGAGTTATACAGCAAATACGTCTGAAAAACAAAGGAGTCTAAGTAAACCAGAACCTCGTCAATTTGCCCACAGAAAAAAAGAAGTTAAGTGAGGTGACTAAATTATTGGTTACAATTTATTCATTCGGGTTTTCTCTAAATCCTCAACGTCTTATGCTAATTTTTCTCACACTGATGTTGTTGTGTGACTTTGAGAATAAATACTACTGGAACTAAAACTCTTGCTGTAATACTTCAATCCCCATGTAAATCAGAAAACCTACAGGCTGACTACTAGATTAATACTTTTGCTCCCATAGGTATCTGGAATAAGACTAAAAAATGCACAAACTCTCTTTTCTTACTTAAATTCAGATGGTAAAAACAGCTGGCCAAGTCTAAGGAAGTTGAGAATGTGTCGGAATATTTGCCCATCTCCATGGATTAGGAGACTCTGACCATATGTGATCCAATACACTTTTTTGCAGTTTGACAGGAGCTCTGGACACTGGAGAAATAAATAGACATGGTACCTTAGGAGGTCAGAGTTACTATAAGATCTTCCTTCTTCCCTCTGTGTCCCTCCAAATCTCATCTCAAAGCCACTCTCCTGCTAGACATGGGAGGGCTGAATCTGGCTAAATGCAGTGAGTTATTGGCACATTATGCGACTTTGCTTGCCAATGGGGTTCATTTATATCAGTGGTGGCCCTGCTTTTAGTCTTACCAATACCGGAACCTGGCTGCGCTCCCTCTCCAGTACTGCCCCAGTGGCTCAGGAGAAGAGCTTGGGATGATCGGGTGGAGAGAGGGCACGAGGGCAGAGAGGGGGTGTGGGTGGAGCAGAAGTGCAGCTGGGGCTGGATTTCGGCTGGGAGCAGTGCGGGGCTAGGTGGCTGTCCCTCCCTAACCTCCACTGTGTGCCCCCTGCACATCCCCCTGAACCCCCAAGAGGGGGCACACTCTATGGTCTGAAACCACTGCTGTATATCATGAGACAGTCCCTTCCCAGACTAAGCTTATTAGCTCTGCTGTGCAAAAGTGACAGCTTTCATGGGCCCCTGGACAAGTGTGGGAGGCGTGGCTCTGTGCTTCCAGAAGGGGCGGGGCCTTGGGTGGAAGGGGCGGTGCTGGGACAGACAGCTCTCCCCACTGCCTGGAGCACAGCCCCGCTGCCCTCAGAACAGTGCAGAGCAGCACTTCAGCAGTGGTGGCCAGGATCCCTGGGCCCCTTTGAATCACCGGGCCCTGGGGCGAATGCCCCTTGACCCCCCGTCAGTGGGCCTGCTTCTGCAATCTACCCAGACTTCTCGGCGTGCTCCGGCACTCATGGCAGCACAAAAGAGAAATGCTGATTCTCGTCGTTCAGCGCCCCGAGGCCAGTGCGCGGGGGGCGCGTCGCCAGCAAGTGGGCTTCTCTGACTGCAGAACCTCCAGAGACACCCCCGCTCACCCTCGGGCTTTTCATGGCTTTACACACGTGCTCACGGCCGCCTCCACTCCACGGCGCCCTTGCACACGTGCTCAACTCGTGCCTCACGTCAATGGGACGTACGCTGCTGCAGAACCTTGAGCACGTGCTTCTTAGCGTCAGCCTGCTCTGGCAGGGAGCCAATGTTAATTTTGAGGGAAGGAAGCCCCGCCCACTCCGTGCTTTTGGCCGTCAATGTACCTGATGGAAGGAAGAATTCACCGGGTCCCATCCGCCCCAGTCAATTGTGCTTGTGTTGTTGGCCGGGGGCTTATTTCTTCATGGGTCCACACTTGTGTCCTTCCTACAACTTCCAGCCCAGCAATGAAGTGCTGATTGCCCCAGGAGGCCGGGCCAGCCCCATCACACGCTCTACTATCAATTTTTCCCATATGGAAATGTCGGAGGCAGGGGAACACTAAGGCAACACAAGGATACGTATTAACTGTACCTTCAGCAAGGTTTGCAAGTATGTTTCATACCAATGGCTTCCTACATAAATTTTCACAATCTGATGCAGGGAGTAGACTCTGACTTCTGCTGTCCAGTCTGCACCTAAGGGTCAAAATGTCAGTCACCATGGAAGCAATTTTAAATAATAACAAACCGTTGTGGTGGATTTGAGAGGTTCGAGCTATTGATGGGCTATCACAATAGTGTAAGAATACAGGTTGAACTTCTCTAGCCCGGCACTCTGGTCTGGCAACCTCCATGGGCCGGCAAGTTTCCCGTGGTCCCATAAAGTTTGTTTCCAGCCCCCAGTCCTGGCTCTCAGTGTTCTGGGCTGTTATTTAGCTTTACTTTGACCCTAAATGTCTTCTAAGAGCCCAGCAAGCAGGGACAGTGTTGGGAAAGCAGCTAGAAAATATTGACTTTCTGTGTGGTTTGGCAAACTCTCTGGTTTGGTGTCAGTCAGGTCCTGAGGGTACCAGGCTAGGGTGCTATAGCAAACACCATGCTGCAGCCATTAGTCCTCTCTGCTGTGCAGTCCAAAGTCTTGGTCTGTGCCTGTGATTATAAGTCTGGTTCTGTTTGAGCTCACCAGCCTGGTCCATTCACCTGGTCCAACGTAGATAAAGCTGGAGGCGCTGTTGAAACTAGACAGTGTCACAGTTCTGGGAGCAGCGGGAAAAGCTGAGGTGTGCTGGAGTCTGATTGAAACTTACGAATGACAGAGATCTTTGACTGGACTTACCTGTGGCTTACGCTCTAGGAACTTCTGGGAGTGCAAAGGAAGTAAAGCTATTCCTCCACCACAGTTCCTTTGTTCCTTCTACTGCTCCCTTTGGAGACACTAGTGCCATTGTCCGTGCTAGCCTCACACACTTCTTGTGCGCAAGGAATGGAGGTAATGCTCTGGGGCCCACTCCAGTCCCGCCCACAGATCTGCGCAAGGCTGAGCACAATGTAGCCTCTAGATTTTATCTGAATGTGTAAGTGACTTTCTGGAAGTGTTTAGACTATAATCCGTGACAGGAATGGTCCATGCGACTGGATACAGGTTCTGCTAAGTGACTTTCTGGAAGTGTTTAGACTATAATCCATGACAGGAATGGTCCATGCAACCGGATACAGGTTCTGGAGTGTTCTGTGGCAATGCTGGCTGGGGGGTTTAAATAGCTAGTCACCAAAATAAACAGGAATCCAATATTTAATTTGAAAAGTGCCTGTACTATTAAAAGAGGTGTGTGCACATGCCGGTATGCATAGCAGTCCCATTCTCCCGGAGGAACACGGACAATGACATGAAAAGATTAGTCATCTCTGGAAAGTGACTATAAAATAAAATGAGTCTGTACAGTACATTTAGCACAATGGGCCCCGGGTGTGAATGTTATAATAGTGGCAATGTATTATTATGATGTTCTTAACTCAATTGTTAGGCCTTTGAGATTGTTACAATTATTTCCCATGTAATTTCTCTAACACCAGCTAGGCACCGCAATGTGTCATGATGACATGAAGATGCATCAGACACAACAGAATTTCTTCATACCAAGCCCTCCTATGGATTTTAATTCCATGAAAAGAATTAGTAAAATTCAATCTTTTATAGGAACATAGATTTTCTATGGGAGCCCCACTTTGAATATCAAGCCCTTTGTCTGACAATTACAACATACAGTAAACTTCCGATAATCTGGCACCTTTAGGACCCAGGGTGCCGGATTATCGGATATGCCGGACTATCAGAAAGGGGGGGCTATGAGGGGTCTGGAGTGGGGTGGGAGGGGATGCCACCCCGGACCCCTCATAGCCCCCCCTTACGATAGTCCGGCTCTGCCCCAGGCATCCCTGATTCAGCTGCTGCTGGTCAGTTTCAGCAGCAGCTGAATCGGGGATGCCTGCAATAGAGGAGCTGGGGGGGTGCCGGGGTTGTGCCGCGGG